TTTTGCCAATTGTGCCAACTGTCTCCACAAATGCATGCGCTACCTTACCTGTATCTGTATGGATATTTTCGAGATAGTCTCATATATTTCTATATATAGATGACTCCCTCTCATAATTTACGGTTAGAAAAAATTTGTGAAACAAAGTTTTGGAAAATATTTCTCTCTCTACATTTCTCTCTCCCTTGCAACTTCTATACCCTTTGCCCAGACACTCCAAACCAAACCTTAAGGGTTATTTGCTGAGGTATTTAAGCTTGAATTTTCAGCTCTTGAGGGTATGAAATTAGTGGTTTGTGATTCAAAGGGTCATTCCTCTTCAAGAGGTATAACTCCAAGCTTCTTTCCTTTATTCATTGACCATCATTTATCGCTATTTTTGTACTATTTTTCACATGTATTTATGGGTTGAAACTCGTGGTTTAAGGCCATTAAAGGTAGAGGGATGGATTATCTTTCTTTGAACCTTGCTTCTTAGGCCTTTACCCCTGTGTTTCCCATCTTTTCATTTTCTTTTTTTTTTTTAGCTTTTTAACACTGATTTTCAGAGGTTTTTCAGAGGTTAAAATGTGGTTTTGAAGTCCCAAAAATAGAGAGGTTAGCCTCCTCTCATTTGGCTTGTTTACTAGCTCAATTGCTCCATTATTTTAGTTTTCTTTGGTAGATGTTTTACCTTAATTTCAGTGCTATTTTAGCCTATTTTAGGACTGTTTTTAGCTGTTCATGTCATTTATGCTTTGTATTACATGCTTGTAGTGTAACGGTCCTCATAAGTTTGGTGTTTTAGGTATTAGGCACCAACCTATTTGAGCTGATAGCATTTATTTCAAGCTTTCCATACTTGTGTTCACCTCTAATCATCTCTACACTTCTCCCATTTCTTGGCTTCTTCCTTGCTTTGAGAGTCGTTTCAAACCAATTGTTTCTTTAAGCTTGAGATAGAGATTGTTGTGCTTAATGGTTTAATCTCTTCGGAGGTTCATTACCAACAACATGACATCTTTCTCATGCCTTGAACCAACCCTTGGTTTGACACTTCCCTCCTTTAGTGGATTTAATGCTCATTATTGGACTCAATCAATTAATTAATGGAAAGGTAATGAAATGAAGTAATAAAATTGGGATAAAATGAAGCAAGATAATAAAATCAACTTGGGTTCAATCGGACGTTAATTGAACCCATTGAGTCTTGAGTCATTTCATACTTATTAGTAATGAAAACAGTTCAAAAGTCGATGCCAACCGCTTCCCTTGATCAACATCATGATAGGGAGGAGGTGCATGAGTCTTTAATTATCCATTTATTGAAATTGTATCCCTTGATTCATAAGCCATCATGCAATGAATTTGCATCGATTGATGGCTTGCGAATCGAGCCTACCCATCATTTTAGCTATTTGATGATAAGGAGAGGCATGGTAGACAGACATCCCCTAAGAATGCTCTGTTTATTTTCTGTTGTAGCAAGAGAAACGCAACATTAGTGGCTAGTAGGCCACTTTTACCGTATGACAAGCCACTATTAGTAGGCGGCCGGCCACCACTTCTGGCCTACTAGTCACCTTTTAACAAATAAAATAACAAAGTAATAATAATCTCTAAATGAATTGTCAAATTAAAATTTAACCCAAATAATAAATAAATAATTATGCTCAACAAACTCATTAAATAGAATTCGACATTCCAAGTTTGCCACGAATAAAATTTAAGCGATCCTCGCTAAGGGGTTTTGTGAAAATATCCATCAATTGCTTGTCGGTGTTTACAAATTCAATAATAATATCCCCTTTTTGCACATGATCTCTTAAAAAATAATGTCGAATTCCAAAATGTTTTGTTCGTAAATGTTGAACTGGATTTTTGCTTAAGTTAATGGAACTAGTGTTATCACATTTAATGAGAATATGATCATAATACAAATCAAAATCCTCTAATTGTTATTTCATCCATAGTACTTCAGCAGAATAACTTCCGGAAGCTATGTATTCAGCTTCGACAGTTGATAAAGCAACAAAATGTTACTTTTTGCTAAACAAAGATACTAGTGAGTTACTAAGAAAATGACAAGTACCACTGGTGCTTTTTCTATCAAGTTTGCGCCCGACAAAGTTGGCATCCGACTAACCAATCATGTCAAAAGCCACACCTCTAGGATAAAACAAGCCAATTTAGATATGCCGGCAAGATACCGAAAAATCCGTTTAACGGCGGTAAGATGAGATTCTTTTGGACACGATTGATATCATGCTTACATGCATACATTAAACATAATATCAGGTCTACTAGCGGTTAAATAAAGAAGTGAGCCGATCATACCTCGATATTTTGTTTGATCAACGGACTTACCCTTCTCATCTTTGTCCAGTTTAATAGATGTGATCATAGGTGTTCCTACTTGTAATAACTCCGACCTGTGATTAGCTTATAATCCATGATTAAGAATGCTAATAACACTGTTGGAAATTACATTTTTAGCGGCGTTTTTTAAACGCCACTATAGGTATTAAAAACGCCGCTAATTTTTTTGTGACGTTTGGTACCAAACGCCGACGACGCGGTTGTCGCTATAGCTTTATGACGTTTGAAAAACGTCGCTGTATTAGTGTAAACGGCGTTTTTAAAAACGCCGCCGAATATCCTACCCTAATGGCATTGTGACGTCACTATGGTTTTAGCGACGTTTCTAAAACGCCGTCATAGGTCTTTTAATTTTAAAAATTGTAACCCTTATAGTGGCGTTTTAAAAACGCCGTCTTATCTTTTCTTTTTCTTTTTTTGAATTGTGCTAATTTTATGTGATTAAACTAAAAGAACACCTGTAATAAAACTAAATAGCACTAATATGAAATAATAACTCCCATTCAAACAGCAAATACAACATTAATTCATTTTCCCATTCAATTTAATATCCAATCACCATTACCCACAAAATAACATATCCAAAAATTGAATTCACAATTCTCAATCAAAAAATTACTATCTTATATACAAAGTCACAAAAATAACATTACCCTCTTATCTCTCTCACCACTCCCCCATTTAACACAAAAAATAAGAAGTGAACCAAAACGCCCAACCCCCTAGTCAGATCAGAGGGAAAAAAAAAAGAAAAAAGAGAAATAAAAATCCAAAAGATTTTAACACAAAAAATAAGAAGAAAGTGAACCAAAACACCCAACCCCCATCCATCCTTCACCGTCATTCTGAATTGCTCTCCATGCTGTTTCCCATGGCCTTCAATCCTCTTGGTCTCTACCAATCGTAAAACATAATAATAATAAAAACAAAGCCAATAAAAGATGTACAGTGAATAGATAACAAAAATAAATATGAGAAGTTCAAACTAATGAATGTTATTTTAAATAGTCACATTAGGTCAAATTAACCTTGGATATTTCAAACTATTAGAAAGTACACAATCCCATGTCATACTCAACGTATTGTTTCTCTGAAAAAAGAAAAATAAGCTACAAAAAATTACTAAGAATATTAATGCCAAAGCACAAGGAGAAAAGTAGCTACACACGCCACACCATCAGTAACAAAGGCAACTAAAACACACATTTACTATGGCACGTACATTCTTAATGCAAATACAAATCTAATGGCATGTACATTCTTAATGAGAACCAGGTCAAAAATTGCCTCATCATGCTAGACAACCACACGCCTCATTCATGTACATTCTTAATGAGCTTTAATACCATATTCAAGAAATTGACATAACAAATTACAAACACACAGAGAGTATAGTTTCTTACGAGCCAAATTCCAATCGAAAGAACATATTTTAGCACAAACAAGCCTATGTGTAAGTTCTGTGTTGCAAGAATAACTATCTGGAACCCATGATCACAGGCAATGTTGATGACAGTTTTTCGCGTGATCCCTGGAAGAATAGTCCCACTGGTTGGTGGAGTCGAAATAAGATTTCCCTGTGAAGGTTGATATATACATGAGTCTACAGTTAAAACCAAATCAGTAGCTGTGACACCATTGTTTAATTTTCCAGACAACTTGAATCCAACCACACCAAGTAACACCATACTCATTGGCTGTCATATGTGACTAAATAATTCTTATTTAAGCATGTAATATGTATATACAAGAAATAAGCACATGTCATGGGGTGATGGGGTGATACCTCACCAGGCACTTCAATAGCATATGCCATAATATTGCTCTTTCTCATTATTTTCTCAATAGTTCTCTCGTCTCTTTAATCATTCAACAAGTGATGAGAGATTTATTTTCTCTCAATTTCTTTTCTTCACTCAACAAAACCCCCAATCCAGCTGTTACTACATCATGTGCCAAAAATTCAAGTATTAATAATATATTTTCCATCAATCGCAACACCTGCGAAAACTAACATCTAAGCTCTAGCGATCCCCATTAAATAATAATAATAATAATAGCATTTGAGAATTATGTCAAGAAGTTCTGCCCCTGCTTTTGAATCAAATACCTCAGCTTGATGGCTGTTATTCCAAGAAAAAAAGAAATTTGAATTCATCTAAACATATAATCAATGTGATTTCAAATAAATGATCATAAAATAGTAGATAAAACATTTAATCACCTCACGTGACATCTCAAAGGCCTCATAGGATTGTTAGTCAAGAGCGCAACTCACCGAGGTATTGGAGAAACAACCGAACCCTTCCAATAAGGAACAGAAACAGAGCCTATAATCTCCTGATTAGGAGACATAAAGGCATTGCTATGCTGAAAATCACAATAATTCATCTTCAAATTCCGTATAAGAACGCCTGTTCATCGTATCAACACAACAGTTTCAGCCATCAAAACCATGGGTTGGTCTATGACCCAAAACCCAAAAATTCCTCCTTACAACAAGACAATCAATATCACACAATTAACAAAACCCACCAACTTTCCCAAAAAAAAAAAAAAAACCTTATTTGGAATGGTATGTGCAATTCAAGTTAAAGTATTACAACAAGCTTGTATCGTGATGTTTTCAAACTATAGCCTATATGTTGATCAAATGGTAGACTCATGTTATATTGTACACACAACAGCAGATTTCTAGGAGGAATTTGTGCAAATTAAAGTGAACAAATTTAAGCTTCTAGAATTGTCATTTCAATAGAACCATTTGGCCCAACTAGAATTGTCATTTCAATGCTATAACGCAGGTCCTTATAGGCAAACTAATTGCAAAAAAGAAGCAACAATTCTCACCAGTGATCAGCTACTCCAGGAAATGCACAAGCAAGATACCTAAGAATTGCATGACTGCAAAGCATATCAAATGCATAAGATAGTCAATATAAGCTTAAAAACATAATGTATAATTTAGAACGTTAAAAGAACAAAAAGATTGAAGAGCATCATCCCAAAAATTTGTAGATACAGCAGTGACCAACAGTCTCTACAATTCATACATGAAAAAGAATACTAGCGCTATGGGAATGCGCATAACAGTGTGTTTAATACCTAGAGTCCAAGCACTACAAAAACTATGCAAAGAACACTTGAACTAACCAGAAGCCATGGAGGAATAAGCAAACTAAACTTTGCATTTTGAACCAATTCATACCATACATTCCGCACATATACAGGGACAGAAAAATTATTATTTCTGCATAAGATTTTGGAATTATAAAAAATATCAATTGGTCAAACCAGACCACAAAGTCCCAAGCATTACCCGTTTCAGTGCTTCTAGAATCAAATTTCTCAATTCCCAAGAGCAGTCTAATCAGGCCACCCTACATGAGGTGTAAGGGCAATTTCACGTATAAGAGGAATCCACAACTCAATATTAAACAGATTAGAGCAAGTGTAAGATATTGGCATCTCAAAGCTTAAAGCTAACAGAAAGACAATCACCTGAATAAGGTCAGCCATTTCAGCACCCATGTTGTCATATCTTTGTGCAATAGACAAGACCAGACGGGCATTACTCATTGCTAGCTTTTCTCTTGCCAAAGCGCACTCTATGAGTTTCAATTGTAACTCAGCACAAGAAATCTTCAGGGAAGTTGCAAGTCGCTCCTCAAAAGGCTTATGTCCTAAACTTTCCTTCAGTCTGAAATCTCCATTCAGCACAAATCATGCAAACAATAAGAAAATATATTTTTTTTTCTAACAGAAATCAATATATCTATTTGACAGTGTCACTTCAAAAGTATGGACCAAATAATAAAAATGAATATATTTTAGGAAGCAAAGCAAAAAATGACTCATAGCTAACCAAGAAGAAAAATGACTCAGAATCATTTCCTTCTATCCGAAATCTGTTTCTCTATTAGCGCGGTCATAATAAATTTCTTTGGCTCCATTTGATGCTGTGGTACATTTACATTAGAAGATTTTTTGCAGTCCTTAAGAATGCTTTACAGTGTTTTGGCTTTATTTTTAAAAGTCTTTTAGAGGTGATTCACCAAAACAACACTAATCAGTGAAGTAACAACTAAATGGAAATGTTTGAGAGAGGGGAAGATCTAAACTAACATGAGACGTGATATTAACGAAAGATATAAATTTATTTAATTTAATTAAGCATATAACCCTCAACAGAGCTGCATGGCGAAAAAGGTTCATGTAGCCGACCCAATTGATTGGGATACAAGACTTAGTTTGGTTTGGTTTGGTTAGCAATTCAGTTGCTTTGGCAAAAAAAAGAGGAAATGAAATCTTTTATCAATGTGCAGAAACAAAAAAGTACCAAAGATTTTTGCAACAATCTCTTCTTTACAAATTCTTAATTGAAGCATTTTATTAGAAGCCACACACCGCCAAATGGAGCTTTAACTAATGATATGCAAATGATACAATACAAAGGAAATGAGTTATATCCGCAGTCAAATAGCTTGTAACTCTTATACTACAAGGACAGCAAGACAAAAACCAAATAACTACAGCAAGGAAAGACCTAAAGATTAACTGGGAGGACCAAATTTACATGAAAAATGTGTCATCTTTCACAAAAAAAATGGATGAAGAAGTAAATAAGAATGAAACGGAATTTCTTGCATTTTTCTTCCTTCTTTTTCTTTTTTTTTTTGAAAAGTGACGAAGAATTTTATTAAGCAAAAGCTAGAAAAGGAGATAGGACAAGGAGTCCTCGGACAATGTAAAAGATCAAAACAAAAGCCACAACTAAACAAGAGTTGGTGAAGGAAAAAAGGTGAACTAAACAAAAGCCACAACTAAACAAGAATTTCTAGCATTTCATTTATGCTAGAGGAGCAAAACTACGTATCTATTGGCTCCGTTTTACTGCAACAAACGTCTTATAAAGGAAAAAAAGTGACATCCATGGTCACAGCCCAGAAAGTAACAAAAGAATCCATAAGTTTATGTGCCCATGAGCAAGGAATCAAGAAAAATTTATGTCGAGTAACGATGACATAAGCATAAGTTCAAAAATCTATAGGTCCTTAATTTAGGTGAATCAAGAAAAAATTAAAGTGTCAAGTAAGGATGACATAAGCGGGAATAACTGACTTACAAGGCATCAGACCAAAGTACAGACGATATATGAAAGTTGTTCTGTCCCTTTTAATAAAGCACTGAATAGGAGAATCCCTCGGCCCAGGCTACATAAAAATAAGAAGCAAAATAGCTCAGTTAGAACAATATAATCATAACAATGAAATAAGAATAATAACAAACATATGAACAAAAGTCACCTGTTTCAATGAAATGGGAAAGGTCAGTCTCCCACATTCCTCTGGAGTCTTGACAATCTCCTTTGTAGTATCCCTCCATGATTTGCAAACTGATGCACAAAAGACAACATCGGTCCTTGCAGGCCAGGTTGTTTCGCTCTCTTCAACCCTCCGAATTATATCCAAAAGCAATTTCGGAGGCAAGTTAGCCCACTTTCCTTGTTCAACTGGCTCAGAAGGGGCTACATCAGGGGCAATATGTGATCGGGTTCGGTTACACCAGTGCTTGCCTTCCACCCTTCGTTTTGATATACTCCACATTCCATCTTTCATCTCCCTCAGCTCGTGTACAATGCTTTTGAAGGACATCTCACCTAAACATACCAATCAATCCTTTCCTTCAATTGTCCAGCTTCAACCACATCAAAAAAGAAAAGACCAAAAAAAAAAAAAGTTTTCCCTTTTCATTACCTGGTTTTTGATATGTATTGTAATTATCTTGATTTCAAGGGATAAAAAAAACAAAATCATAAAAATGTTTCAAAGAAATCGAGCTGCAAATGAAAACTACTTGAAGAAAATTGAAGCAAATTCACAAAATTGAACAAAGCAAATATTGTAGCATTACCACAAAAACAAAAAAAAAAAGAAGCAGCTATAACATTTCTGTGAATCTCCCATCAAAAGAAAGACAGAAGGTGCGAACTTTCACAGTCATGTGTAACTTCTATGGTCTATTTGTCGATCCATTTCTAACTTATCTAACGAATTGTTCTAGCAATTCAACAAAAATGCACACAACAAAGGTGAGAGATAAATTAATTGCAGCCTCAAAAATCCAACAGAATCAGCACAAATTACAGCAAACAAAAAATTTAATTAAAAAAAAAAAAGAACATTAGGCACCAAAAACAAAAACAAAAAGAAATCAGATCCAGAGAATACCAAAAAAAAAAAAAGAGCAATCAAGCATTAATTACAAAGGAGAGAAGAAAATCACGAATTAACAGAACTTTGACCAGATCAGTGAGAGAGAAGTAGAGAATTCGGCGATTGAGACTCTGGAATGTTCGGATCGGAGATAATGAGAAGACAGCATACACAAACATATATCCCTCCATGATTTGCAAACTGATGCACAAAAGACAACATCGGTCCTTGCAGGCCAGGTTGTTTCGCTCTCTTCAACCCTCCGAATTATATCTAAAAGCAATTTCGGACAAATAACTCAACCCTTCAGATCTGGCTTTAATTAGTTCGAAATCCTTTAGATCTCGTCTCTTGTTCTTTTCTTCAACGAGCACCACCACCGCCATCCTTTTCCACAACTGTAGCTGTCGATCTGAAGCGATAATGAGAAGACAGCAGCGGCGGTGAGTGTGGATGAGATCGGCAGAGGAGAGAGAGAGAGAGAGATGAGTCTGGTGACAGAGAAGAGTGAAAAAAAAAATGAAATCAAAATCAAAATCACTGAGCTTGATGCAGATCGACTTGATGCAGATAGGTTTACCTCTCAGTAAATGAAATCGATTCTGAAGCTTGATGTAGATAGGTTTACCTCTCAGTGATTTCTATGTAAATGGAATAGGTAAACAAATTAAATCACCAAGATGATTCCAATCGATTCCTATTCTAAAATCACTCGGAGATTTAAGGAATCACCGAGCTGAAGCGAGAGAGTGAGCAAGAGATTTGAGGCATCTTCTTTCTGAGACTGAAGAGTAAAGAATGAGAGTCTCAAGCGGGAGGGAGAGGGTGTGAGAGATTATAACACATTCGGAGGCGTTTTCTATCAGCTAAATGGTGTCGTTTTGATTAGCACAAAAGGCGACGTTTATAAAACGCCATTAAATATTAAAAAAGATGACGTTTAAGAAAACGCCATTATATAAACGCCGTTAAAACAAACATTTCTTGTAGTGTAAGTAATTAAGAGGAAATTCTGAGTTAATTGCATGTGTATTGTGTTATTTGTGTTTATATCTGTCTGACGTAGGAATATCTATTTGAATTTCTGTTTCGATATGCGAATTGAAGGCCCCATCGGCATCCGAACATGAAATTGACTCCGTTTATTTGTTATTTAGAATTTTTAAAATTTTATGGTAGGTTTAATTGAATTTCGATTCGGAACTAAATAATTAGAATAAATTAGATTAAATTAAGTTAAGCTAGGCTTAATTAAGTACACTAATCAAGCCTATATAAGGCTTATACACACACCAGAGCTTTTCTTGTTCATCATTTCTTGTGAAGAAAAAAGTGAGAGAGGGAGAGTTAGAGTGAGAGGATTGAATTCAAGAAAGAAATGAAGAATTGCTAGAGAATTAAAAGGAAATTGGAGAAATTGAGTAAGAACTCACTAGAATTCAAAGAATTGAGAACCTTGGGTAAGAAACTCAATCTTTAAGATTTGTGTTTGACTCTTTCATGCATGAATTCAAGAGAATTAAGTATATTAACATGAGAATTAAGTTAGGATTGGAGAATTATAACTCAATTCCTACATGCATGCACATTTCTTAGCATTTTGGGTTGTTTTCAAAAGAATTCCCATATGCATGGTCTTATCTTGGTTTTGTTATAAGAATTCAACTTGTTTTTGAGCTAAATATCTCATTTGATCATGTTTTGGAAGGTTTGAGTTCATAACAAGTCATACATGTTATGCTTTCAAAATTACAAGTTTGACTTTGAACAATTCACTTACCTTTGGACTTTGATTTTGTGAAATGATCTTCAATTCATAGTGTTTTACAAGTTTAGATATGTTTTCTCAAGTTTTGGGCCCAAATGATGTGTTTTGAAGCTTTGAATTTGAGTTTGGAAGCTGGGAGTGCAATCTGGAAATTCCAGAATTCGCACTCTTTGCTCGAGCAGTGGACTCTACGCTCGAGCGAAGAATGTGAGCTCCAAATACTTTTGTAGAGTTTGGGGATTGGCTCGAGCGGCAGAATCTGCGCTCGAGTGACCACCCTTATTTTTTATCCTCAACTCGCGCAACCAAAGTTGTGCTCGAGCGTAAAATGAAAGCTCCCAGAAGTTTTACAAAATTTGGCAAACTACTCGAGCGTAGGAAGTTGCGCTCGAGCGAAGACCCTGTTTACTCAGTCTTTGGCTCGAGTGACCGTCGAGTGTAAAAATCATGCAACCAGTACTTTTGCAGACCTTGCAGACCGCTCAAGCGACCGAAGTTGCACTTGAGCAGACTACCATGTTTTCAGAAATTTGACTTAGTGTTTCGAGTTACATTTTGGCATCCTCATTACATCCTAGGCATTCATAAACCTTAATTAAGACATAATAAAGAGGATAAGGATTTGAAACACACCAAGATAGAAAAGAAATGAGTTACGTGTTTTCCGAGCATGTGTTTCAATGTGTATCCGTTATGTGTTTGTGTAGGTCACGCGCCGTTGTCTGTCTGATCTGTCTGCTCTGTTTGTTTTGTTTCTAGAGCTATCTGTGAGTAATAACTTTGTAAAACTATGTTTAATTTTAATTATTTTCTGAATGATATGAAATGATCTGTTTTTTGAAATGCTATTTTCTGTATGATATGAAATGATCTGTTTTCTGAAATGCTGTTTTCTGTATGGATGAATGATTGTCTAGATTTCTGAAATGTATTTGTGGTATCTTTAGCATCATGTGATATCTGTTATCTGCTCTGTCTACATCTGATGTAATCATGAGTCAACTGTACGTCTCATGTGATCATGGGTCAACTGTTATTGATCCTTATGAACATTTTTGTGCACATGAGTCAACTATTTAAGCCCCATATAAATGGGTCAACTATTTTGCAAGCGCTAATGGATGTACCACGTATGACTATCTGTGAACTCTGAATATGAATATGAATCTGTTTCTGAATCTGAATTCTGATTTATGGACAACATTCATTAAAACCTTTACTCTGTTATTATTCACCGGGCTCCAGCTCACTATAGTATTTATGTATGTAGGTGATCAGACATGTGATCAGGCATAAGCTGCTGCCTGGATCTATTTTTTCAACCAACCATAGCGCCTCCCGAGGAGGTTCCCAAGTTGAAGTGTGGTCATGTTCTGTTAACAAGTTTTAAGTGTTTGTTTTCTTTTGTTTGTCTGAACAAATTTTTGTAAACTTTGTATATAAGGCTAAGCCCCCTTTTGACTGTATCTGAAATGATGACGTAAGACCAATGTTGATATTAACGTCACAGATATGTATATAAATTTTGTATTTTCTGTCCCATGTATGTTTACACAACTCTATGGACGTTATATGTATTTGCTTCCGCTAGCCCCTTACTTTTACTTAATCTGTTCAGAGGCCTTTGGTAATTCCAAGATTACTAGTCGGTTACGATACTAAACCTATAGAGGCAGGTTTGGGTCGTGACACTACTACCTTTGATTTCTCTATATCAAACTTTTTAAGTAGTTCCTTTGTGTACTTTGTTTGGTTGACATAAATTCCTTCCTTAACTTGCTTGATTTGAAACCCAAGGAAATAATCGAGTTCTCCCATCATACTCATTTCAAATTCACCTTGCATAACTTTAGCAAATTCCTTGTACAAAGATTCATTAGTAGCTTCGAATATTACATCATCAACATAAATTTGCACAAGAACGGAGTTATGACGAGGAAGATATAAGTGCTTGAATATGTAAATTTGAATATAAAAATTTTGCCCAAAGAGAGGAAAATCTTATTTTTGGCCAACTTTCAGAACTCCGACGACAAGTAAAAAGATATGGAACAAGGTGTATGAAGAGTGGAATGAAAACTAAACCATGAGGTGAATCCAACGACGCAAAAATGAGGCGAAACGAAGTTACGACGAAGGAGATACAAGTGTTTGAACATGTGTGTTTGAATCTAAAATTCTGCCTAAATTTCCATTAGTTTAATATGACGGAGATGGACGAAGGGGCCAGATTGAAACACAAATGAAACTCTAGGATTTAATTTATCAAAATTAAAACTCTAGGGTTTAAATTAAAAAACACGAGAAACCCTGAGATTTTTTTTTTTTTTTTGTAATTAACCCTTAAAATTAAAAAAAAAATGTTGTAATTAAACATAATATGAGGCCTAACTAAGGAACTCATGAGTCATAACTAAAATAATGTTATATTTAAATAAGAAAATTAATCATAACTAAATAAGAAAATAGCATAACTAAGATGCCTATAGTACACCCTTTTCAAGGGGATATATATTCGAATTTCTCATAATATATACTCTTAAAAATATGCATATAGTACGTCAATCATAACAATACTAAAAAATCATATAATCGCACAACTTTTGTTATTAAAACAAGCATAATTTTTTTTGTTTATCATAAAAAATATAATTTTCACTTTAAGAGCTATACCCAAAATTCTCTATTCATAAC